CCCAATCCATATTCGGTGTTGAGACTAAATTTGGCCAAAGCAAATCGCCGCTTGGGAAATACACAGGCCACCACATCATCTTATGCCAACATCACAAGGCCAGATGGACACTGCTGACACAGCCAATCAGCGCACAAGCAAAGGCATTTATCGATTTCTTCTGTACGTTTACATTTTACGGCAGAACCCTGTGCAAACACAAACTGTTTTTCCGACTGTTCTGTAAGTATGTTTCTCTGATAATGAATCCGCGACGGGTTTCGGAACGTCAGGCGAATAAAATATTGTCCCAGCGATCGAGTCATCTTCTACTTCTCGATAACAACTGGGTTCGTCAATATTAAGTCCTCTCACCTTCACAGTGATAAAAGTGGATTTGTGACGGCTACACAATGTGTTAGGACAGAAGTGGTGGCCTTATAAAGGAATTTGTATTGGCGCAGTGCTTCTCTTTGGTGAGCTTGATAGGGTGCCATATCTCAGAGGTACAGTCAGTGAAAATTTTAGCCAATATTCTGATTAGGACGGATTCATTTGTTGTCATTTTAATGTAAATTAGCATGCAGCGTAATCCCGGCATACGTGTGACACGATAGGCTACCGGCTTTCAAATCAATGGCTTTTCTGGCCCCTGCAAATACCGGATTCGATGAACGTATGCTCACCAAATCATCTTCTAATTTTTTTCAGTGAAAAATTTGGCACCTGGCAGTGGTATACTTTTTATCTGTAAATTATAAAGTCAAATAAAATTTTCTTTTTAGAACTCATTTCATAGTAAATCCTGTCCTTTTCAAATTTTGTGCTCAATGAAAGACCGTGTCTAGGTTTTAAGAAAGGTGCTCAACTGTCCAAAATTTTTGAACCCGATTTGTATTGGCTACACGATAATCAGTATTATTCCTCCACTAAAGTAATCCTCCTACTCGGAAACGCACTTCATGAAATCGGCCTTTGTCTGTATAACTAGACCCTTCGAATTCTTTTTTTAATGTAGTTTTACTTTTTCACTCTTAGCTGGTTCTGCCCCCCAGGAAACTCTTTTTGGTTTTTCTTTTAAATTATTGGTACTTTCATTTGTCTAAAGGGTTTATCTCTTTCTTGTAGGCCGACGACGAGCACTACATTCCACGTGCCGTACTGCTTGATTTGGAGCCCCGAGTCATTAATGGCATCCTGAGCTCATCCTACTCTCGCCTTTACAACCCCGAAAACATTTACATGTCAAAGGGCGGTGGCGGTGCGGGCAATAATTGGGCTGCTGGCTACACCCAAGGCGAGAAATTACAGGAAGAGGTTTTCGATATTATTGACCGTGAGGCTGAGGGAAGCGACAGCCTGGAGGTATGTTCTAATTACATTAAAACATTGCTACTTGAATTCCGACAGTAGTATACTCTCATCAAATATTTTACCGCTTGTTACTCATTTACATTTGCATTCAGGGGTTCATAATGACACACTCGATCGCCGGTGGTACCGGGTCTGGTATGGGCTCCTTCCTCCTCGAACACCTCAATTCGCACTTTCCAAAGAAGCTGATTCAGACTTATTCCGTGTTTCCAAACGTAGAGGACACCAGTGATGTTGTCGTCCAGCCCTACAATAGTCTACTGACTCTCAAGAGGCTCACACTTAATGCGGACTGCGTCGTAAGTTGACGTCTCATTCTGATTCGAATGATGGTTACTTTTTAGGTTGTATTGGACAACACTGCTCTCCATCGAATCGCCACTGATCGCCTTCACATTGGGAATCCCTCCTTTGCACAGATCAACCAGCTGGTACGTTGCCTGTGTCCTACTTTAGTAGAACGTTCGTTGGTCTTCTATATATGCATATAGAAAAGGACTATTTTCAAAAACGACTTCCCCTTTTCCTCTCCACCAAAATATAAGTATTTTATTGCTAATTCATTTGCAGGTCTCGAAGGTTATGTCTGTCAGCACGGCTACTCTGCGGTATCCTAGTTACATGAACAACGATCTGATTGGGCTAATAGCTCCGCTGACACCCACGCCTCGACTGCACTTCCTCATGACTGGCTATACTCCTCTCACCACCGAGACTGAGGTCGCGAACGTTCGCAGAACCACCGTGTGTGACGTCATGCGGCGTTTGCTGCAACCGAAGAACATGATGGTCTCAACGCCACCCCAGCGCAACGTTGACCACTGTTACATTTCTATCCTGAATATAATTCAAGGTGAGTGCTTTGTGTTTGGCCCAGTGTTAACTCATGCTATTTTTACCACACACGAACACACTGTACCTTGTTATCTTCTGATGTGCCAGTTTGTTACGGCCTGCGCCTGGTATATGTAATTAGCACGAACCCTGAGTTAGCCCGACTGTTGTTCCGAACGTCAGCACGAAAAATGACAAATAAATCGACCAAGGGGAGACGTGTATTCACACAGAGCAAGTCAAGGCAAGTCACTCGTATAAACAGGCTGCGGGGTATTTGTTCAGTCCGTTCCATGAGCAGGCTTTAGCGACAGGACACCAATCAGCTATAACGAAAAATCGATAGCCACGATACGCGCTCTCATGGCAGCGGCGTGGAGTTGCACCCAGGGGCCTTTCTGTAAGATGAGGAATCGTGGAAATGGACCCCTTCCCAACATAGTTTGGCCATATACAATTCATCTGAGAACGACCGAATCTAGTTAGACGGATGATTCTGGTCACAAGTGTCCTCCGCTCAGATACACGAACTTCTACGAGTTTTTGCAGCCTTCAGTTGCACAGTTTGTACAGGAAAAGTTTTTACCGCTTGCCTTTCCATTACAACTCTCCGTCCGTTTCGGGTAAGGCCGATCGATTTTTGAGCCTGTGCGGATGATTACCTTCGACAAATTACAGTAGATTCCCCATCTCATGAAATGTCAACCAATATTCTGAAATGTAAAGAAGAAGAGGCCATCTCTGGAACGGCAATATTATTCTTCTGAGCTTTCGGCTCCACACGAGAAGCCATTGCCAGAGAAAATGAGCAATCAGCAAGCGTTGGCTACGCGTAAATGGGGGTGGGAGGGGGCACTTGTGATTGGTCCATGCTCATGCCATCTTATAGTGTGTCCCCTGCAGGCGTCCCTAGAGTTATGGCGTGTGACTCTGACGTGGCAGCCTGCGTGCTCGTACAGGAACTGGGCCGTGGTTTCTAATCGCCAGTGCGGATGGCGAAATAACAGGGCAATATATTCACATGCCTGTTGATGGAGTTAGGATCTGACACCCAGGCCTCCAGCAGTTCTCGCCCCGTCTTATTAATAGCTCGTGGCGTGGGCATGGACCAATCACAAATGCCCCCTCCGCCCACCCCAAATAATGCGTAGCCAACGCTTGCTGCTTGCTCATTTTCTCTGACGATGGCTTCTCGTGTGGAGCCGAAAACTCAGAAGAATAAGATTGCCGCCCCAGAGGTCGCGTCTTCTTCTTATTTACAACAAGAACGTGGGGCACGCATATTTGCTTCTATTCTGAAATGTGTTGTCGATTTGCATAAATTACTTGCGTAGAGTTATACTGTCAATTATTATGTAAAAATGGCTATGTAAGAAATATGATTCTTTTCCCCTGATGTTCGGTGTCCTTAGAAATCATGTATAAAAAGGTTATCTGTTGTACTCGTTTTGTAACAACTTATGTTTTTCTTCATATTTCTTGCTTGAAGAAGGGGGTATCTGTCAGTTTTAAAAGCTTTCTAATTACACGCTTTTAAGACCATGAAATGCCCATTCATAATACATCATATCCGTCAATTTATTATTATTGCTCATAAAGCATACAACATAATCCAGGCCACGAATAGAAGCGAGTATGCGTGTCTCAGGTTCTTGTTGTGAAAAAGACGAATGCTTGATCACTGGGGCAACACTTGTATAAGTCGGAGCTTTGCACGCATACAGGAGGCCATATCATCAGAATAGCTGACAGTTATAGATAATTGACCAATTAGCGACGAGTGCCACTAGGCTGGAAGTGATTGCGTGGGGTATCTGTATGTGCGCGAAGTTACATATGCCGAATGGATGCGAATGTGTGCTATAGGTTCTTCTTGCAAAGCAGACAAAGGCCTGATCACTGGGACAGCACTTGTATTTGCCTGAGCTTTCGAACTCGTACAGGCGGCCATCGTCAGAGAAAATGAGAGAACAGCAAGAATCAAAATGCTGGCCAGAATAAAATTTGATCGAGCAGTGAAACCAGTTCTTTACTCCTCTGACTATTCAAAGTCCGCAGTGATGGTAATATCATCAGAACAGCTGACAGTTATAGATAATTGACCGATCAGCGACGAGTGCCACCAGGCTGGAAGTGATTGCGTGGGGTATCTGTATGTGCGCGAAGTTAAATATATCGAATGGAAGAGAATGTGTGTGCCCCAGGTTCTTCTTCCAAAGAAGGCAAAAGCGTGATCAATAGGACGGCACTTGTATTAGCCCGAGCTCTCGTCAGAAAAAAATGAGAGAACAGCAAGCATTGGCATGTTTTGTAGTCCAGCTACGAGGAAATGGGGACAAACAACTTAGCTCGCGAATAACGGAGCACAAGCAGACAGTGCGGAGAGGTGACCTACTTTTCCAGATCTCTACTCACACTCTGGAATAAGGCCACGAATTCGACTTCACGGGGACGCGGATAATATTACGAGCCACTAATAAGAGGGGGCGAGAACAATCGGAGGCCTGGATGTCAGACTCTAACTCCATCAACAGACATGTGTGAATATACCGCCCTGTTATTTTGCCCTCCGTTCGTCCCACCGAGATGCACGGCCCAGTTCGTGTCCAGACACGCACGCTGCCACGTCAATGACGCA